TATGCATGGGATAGGAGTGCATGACAGCTTTGTGAAAATAATTTGTTTTTTAAAAACTAGATTTGGTTTAAAACTACTACTAATGAAGATTTTTTTTAATATTAATGCCACTAATGAAGATTTTTTTTAATATTAATGGATTGAGTTCAAAAGCTACTAGCAAAGTATTCTTAAGTTTCAGTATGTTAAATTCAAAACTACCAAAATGAGGTTTTTTTTTGGCTCTATTAAAAAACTACTAGTATTTTTTGCCATTAGTGAACATGTTGTAAATAATTTCTATGAACATAACAGAGTAATAGGTTGGTTACGACAGTTATGTATGGGGTAAAGGCACATAACAGCTTTGTGAAAATAATTGTTTTTTTTTTAAATTAAATTTGGTTTAAAACTACCACTAATGAAGATTTTTTTTAATATTAATGGATTGAGTTCAAAAGCTATTATCAAAGTATTCTTAAGTTTTAGTGTATTGAATTCAAAACTACTAAATTAAAGTTTTTTTTTTAATTTTAATTAAAAAACTGCTATTATTTTTTGCTGTTGGCATGAATATGTTGTGAATGATCTCTATGAATGTAACAGGATAATAGGTTAGTTATGATAGTTATGTGTGGGGTAGGAGCACATAACAGCTTTGTGAAAATAATTGAATTTAGTTCAAAACTACTACTAAATGAAGATTTTTTTTAATATTAATGAATTAAGTTCAAAAGCTACTAGTAAAGTATTCTTAAGTTTCAGTAGGTTGGATTCAAAACTACCAAAATGAGGTTTTTTTTGGCTCTATTAAAAAACTGCTAGTATTTTTTGCTGTTGGTAAATGTGTTGTGAATGATCTTTATGGATGTAACAGGATAATAGGTTGGTTATGACAGTTATGCGCAAGGTAGAGGCACATGACAGCTTTGTGAAAATAATTTATTTTTTTTAAAACTGGATTTGGTTTAAACTACCACTAATGAAGTTTTTTTTTTAATATTAATGGATTAAGTTCAAAAGCTACTACCAAAGCATTCTTAAGTTTCAGTGTGTTGAATTCAAAACTACCAAAGTGAAGTCTTTTTTTTCAATTCTAATTAAAAAACTACTAGTATTTTTTGTCATTGGTGAATATGTTGTAAATAATCTCCATAGACATAACAAGATAATAGGTTGGTTATGACAGTTATGCATAGGGTAGAGGCACATGAAAGCTTTGTAAAAATAATTAGTTTTTTTTTCAAATTTGATTTAGTTTAAAACTACCACTAATGAAAATTTTTTTTAATATTAATGAATTTAGTTCAAAAGCTACTACTGAAGTATTCTTAAGTTTCAGTGTGTTAAATTCAAAACTACCAAATTGAAGTATTTTTTTGATTTTAATTAAAAAACTGCTATTATTTTTTGCTGTTAGAGTGAATGTGCTATGAATGATCTCTATATATGTAATGAGATAATAGGTTAGTTACGACAGTTATGTGCAAGGTAGGGGTGCATGACAGCTTTGTGAAAATAATTGGTTTTGGTTCAAAACTACTACTAAATAAAGTTTTTTTTTAATATTAATGGATTGAGTACAAAAGCTACTAGTGAAATATTCTTAAGTTTCAGTAGACTAGGTTAAAACTACCAAAGTGAAGTCTTTTTTTTGATTCTAATTAAAAAACTGCCATTATTTTTTGCTATTGGCATAAATGTGTTATGAATGATATCTATGGATGTAACAAGGTAATAGGTTGGTTATAATAATTATATACAGGATAAAGATGCATGACAGATTTAAAATATTTCTTTTTTTTTTTAAGTAGATTTGGTTCAAAACTATCACTAATGAAGTTTTTTTTAATTTTAATAGATTAAGTTCAAAAGCTACTAGTGAAGTATTCTTAAGTTTTAGTGAGTTAGATTCAAAATTATCAAAGTGAAGTCTTTTTTTGGCTCTAATCGAAAAATTGCTATTATTTTTTGCTATTAAAATGAATGTGTTGTGAATGATCTCTATGATATAATAGGAAAATAGGTTGGTTATGACAGTTATGCACAAAGTAGAGACACATGACAAATTTGTAAAAATAATTCAGTTTTTTTTAAAGCAGATTTGGTTCAAAACTACTACTAATGAAGTTTCTTTTTAATTTTAATGGATTGAGTTCAAAAGCTACTAATGGAGCCATCTTAAGTTTCAGTGAGTTGGGTTTAAAACTACTAAAGTAAAGTTTTTTTTTGGCTCTAATTAAAAAAAACTATTATTTTTTGTTGTTAAAGTGAATGTGTTGTAAATGATCTCAATGGATGTAACAGAGTAATAGGTTGGTTACAACAGTTAAGTACAGGGTAAAGGCACATTACAAATTTGTAAAGGTAATTTAAAAAAAATTTTTAAGTGGATTTGGTTCAAAGCTACTACTAATGAAGTTTTCTTTTTAATGAATCTAGTTCAAAAGCTACTAGTGAAGTTTTAGTATGTTGGATTCAAAACTATCAAAGTAAAATCTTTTTTTTCAGCTTTAATTAAAAACTGCAGTATTTTTTTACTGTTGGAATGAATGTGTTATGAATGATCTCTATGAATGTAACAGAATAATAGGTTGGTTATAACAGTTATGCATGGAGTAGGGTACATAACAGATTTGTAAAAATATTTTTTTTTAAATGAATTTGGTTTAAAACTATCACTAATATCTGGAGATATAGTGTAGTGGTTGTGTTCTTGGGTTTCCAATTGCAAGGGAGGCAAAAACCATATTAGGATTACAATTGAAGGTTAATTGTAATCCTTTTAGAATGTCAAGTTAGAATACTTCTAATGAAATTTCAGTTAAAAAAAAAGAATCCTTAAGAAATATTTTTGATGAAATTCTGATTAATTAGAACATTTATAGTAAAATTTTAGTTATTTAAAAAACTTCTAGTTAGAATGAATTCTTGTATAAAAATTTTAATTGTTCAGTGACTTTAATAATAAATATGTAGTAGTTTGAGATAATTAATAAATAATTAATTATATATCCTTAATTGTAAGGGATTTTATAATTTTAAAAGGTCTTATTGATTAAAAATTAGAAAATAAAGAAATGCTGCTAATATTTTATGATGATCTTGTCATAGTTAACAAAACAAAATTATTTTTTTAATTTTAATATATTGAGTTTAAAAGTTTCTAGCAAATTTATTTTAAGTTTTAAAAAATTAGATTTAATATTAGTAAAGTAAAGTTTTTTTTAGTTCTAATTAAAAAATTATTATTTTTTACTATTAGAATAAATATTATAAATAATTTTTATAGATATAATAAGGTAATAGGTTAGTTATAATGATCATATACAAAGTAAGAGTACATAACAGATATATAAAAATAATTTGTTTTTTTAAATAGATTTAGTTCAAACTATTACTAATAAATTTTTTTTAATTTTAATAGTTTAAGTTTTAATAAGTTAAATTTAAAATTTCTAAATAATAGTTTTGGTTTAATTCTAATTAAAAAATTAATATTTTTTTTGTTAAAGTGAATATATTATAAATGATTTTTAGAAATATAATAAAATAATAGATTAGTTAATTTTTATTTCATTAATTGTTTATTATTATAAGATTTTATTATTAGGTATATATGGTTTAATTTAAAAATATTTAAACTAGTTTTTTTATATTAAGAATTTTGTAAATAATATTTTATTAGTATAAATTTTTATTTTTATTAAATTAAAAATTAATATATTGTATATAATATTTAAAAAAATAATAAATATTTTATATTAAAATATAATTATATAATAAAAAAATTATAAAATTTTATTTATAATAAATTAATATTTATATAAGTTTATTTATATTTTATTGGTTTAGCAATAGTAGACATTGGACATAAATCATCTTTTTTATTAGGATCTTGTATATAATTTCTTATTTGTTTATATAAATACCATTGACATTTTGCACTAAGACTAGGTAATTTTTTTTCAACTAATTGATTAAATTTATCTTTTTGCTTAATTTTTTCAATTTGTATTGTTGTTTTTTCTCTATTTGAAGATGTACTAATTTTAATTTTTCTTTTGTCTAAACTACTAAATTCAAAATAATGTTGTTTTAATATATCTGGAATTGTTGTAAATTTTTGTTTTAGCCAATCTGTCCATTCATAAAAATATACAACTTGATCATTTTTATTATCAAAAACTGTTTGTGCAATATTAAATCTAACAGGTATTGAATTTTGAACTATTTTAACTAAATCATTAAGATTATCTACTTCAGATTTTCTTAAAAGTAATTTTATAAGTCCAAAAAATCCATCTGAACTAAATTTAGTATGTCCTGCAATTATAAAACAATAAGTTATACTATCATGTAATCTAGTTAAAACTCTCCAAGCTAAATATGCTATCATTGCATTATTTTTGTTTTGTTCTAAACAATTATCAGCATGAATTATTAATCTTTTTTTATCTAATCCATGTAGTTCAAAATAATTATGAACTAAAGAAATAACAGTATCAACACCTTTACTGACTAATTCATTTTTTTTAATAAAATAATTTGCCTAAAAAATATAAATATATTAGTATAATATAAAACTTAATAAAAAAATATTAATATTTACTTGATGTGGAAATGCATCATCATATATTCCAAATAAATGAACTTTATATAAAAATTTAAAATAAATTTCATTCTAATAATAAAATAAATAATTATTAGATTATTATTTATAATTAAATTTTTATAAATTTAATAAAATAATTTACTTCTTGTTGAGATGAATATGGTAATTGAATTTGTTGTGCATAATTCCAAGAAATATGAGCTATAATATCTAAAGAATTAGGTTTTCCAGAATGTATTATATTTTTAATTCCAAATTTTTGAATATCTTCATATGCTAGTTTAATACTTTGTCTAATAAAATTTTTAATTATAAAAAAAATTAATATTAATGTATTAAAATAAAATAAACAAATTTATTTTTATAAAATTTAAAATTACTTATAGTTATCTCGCTCTTCATTTGCTTATTTAATATGATTATGCCATTCCAAAACTTTGGTTTCTTTTTCTTCAGTTGTCCAATAATTAGCATTAAATCTTATATCTTTATATTTAAAACATAAATCACTACATAGAGTTAATTTTTTAATTTGTGGCAAAATTTTTTCCAAATTCTAATAAATGTTTTTAAACTAACTCCAAATTGATTATTAGTTTCAATTGTTTCTAAATATTGTGTATGTAAAGATAAATAAGTAACATCTGCTGATAAATATATAATTGCAATAGTATTATCTTGAAAATTTTGTTCTATAAAAGTTTAAATTAATAAATAAAATTTTAAATATTATTTTATATTAAAAAGTTACCTGGAGATGGTAAACCATTTTGTTTTGCAAAATTTCCTATAAAAGAAATAACTTTTATTACTGTTTCTAAAGATATTGCTCGATTGCTAACTTTTCCAGTAGTTGAATTAATTCATAAATTAATATCATGTTCTACAAAATGATCTCTTAAATTTTTTTATCGAGTATCTCCTAGTCCATAAATTATTTTAAAAGCATTTAAACAAATTGATTTTCCTTCAAAAGTATATTCTGTAGTAAGTTTGGATTTTTTTAAATTTCTAACAATTTCAGGCTGTTTAGTTGCAGCAATTATATCTAATAAATATATCTTAAAATAACTTAGAAAGATTTTTAAAATTTAAATATCTAGTTAAAGCCATAGAATATCAACTTGGGTTTGTAAACAATTTTTTTCACAACAATTTTTTTCAAAAGATTTTTTAAAATTATTTTCATTTTCTAATAAACTTGTATTTTCTTTTAATTTTTGATTATCATAATTTTGATTTTCTAAAGTATCTATTGTATTATAATAAATTGTTTTAAATTTTAAATATTCTTCTTCAGTCCATATTTCATTTTCTAAAAGATTATTTTCTATATTTTCTAAATTTTTAGATGTTTCAAATAAAGATAAATTATTATTTTCTTAAACTAAAAATTGTAGTTATAAATTTGAAAGATCTATTTGTAATTGTGTATTTTCTATATAAGTTTCTTCAAAAATATTTTTATTTAATAAAAAAATTAACAATTTTACAAAATAAAATTTTTTAAAAAATATTCATTATAAATTCATTCATATTATATAAAATTTATATTATTTTAAAATATATATATATATAATTAACTAAATAAGAATTAATTAATTTTATTACAATACAAATTACAATCATTTAGTAAATAAAGAAATCTAATTTAAACAAAGAATATTTAGTATTACATATGAAAATCATCAATCAATTTACAATTACTTTTCTGCATACTACATATCTATGCTATTTATAAACAATCTATAATCAAACATCCAATTATATATTTTATGCTAAATATACATATCAATAATGGATTATCTATAAACAATATGCAAAAAAACCAACCATATATTGAAAATCCAATTCCAGTTTTCTATTAATGACATTTAACCAACTTAATTTATACTAACTATTGAAACTAAATGCTAACCAAATTCAATGCATTCAACTTAAAAATTCAAAAACTGTTATGCAGAAAATTAATATACAATGATTATTCAAAAAATAATATGCAATTTATGTAGATAACAATACAATTTTTTATAATTAAAAAGTTTATATTGTAAGACACTTGTATTTACACTTTAATTATCTTATGTATAATTTTTGTAACCAACCTATTACTCATTATGTCTATAGATATTATTTACAACACATTTACTCCAACAGCAAAAAATAATAACAGTTTTTTAATTAGAATTGAAAAAAGATCTCACTTAGGTAGTTTTGAACCTAATCCACTAAAACTTAATAATTTGGTAATAGATTTTGAACTCAATTCATTAATATCAAAAAAAAACTTCATTGGTAGTAGTTTTGAACCAAATTCAATTTTAAAAAAAATTATTTTCACAAAACTGTCATGCACCTCTACCCTGCACATAACTGTCATAACCAATCTATTACCCCATTATGTCCATAGAGATCATTCACAATACATTCACCAATGGCAAAAAATCCTAGTAGTTTTTTAATAGAATCAAAAAAAAAGATCTAACTTTAGAGTAAAAAAAAAAAACTTTACTTTGGTAGTTTTGAATCCAACCTACTGAAACTTAAAAATGCTTCGGTAGTAGCTTTTGAACTCAATCAATTAATATCAAAAAAAAACCTTTATTAGTGGTAGTTTTGAACCAAATCTAATTTAAAAAAATCTGAATTATTTTCACAAAGCTGTCATGTACCCTTACCCTACACATAACTGTTATAATCAACCTATTACCCCATTACATCTATAGAAAACATTCATAACATGTTCACCAATAACAAAAAATACTAGCAGTTTTTTAATAGAGCCAAAAAAAAAAAAGACCTCATTTTGGTAGTTTTGAACTCAATCTACTGAAACATAAGAATACTTTGCTAGTAGCTTTTGAACTTAATCTATTAATATTAAAAAAAAAACTTCATTAGTGGTAGTTTTGAACCAAATCCAATTTTAAAAAAACAAATTATTTCACAAAGCTGTCATGCACCCCTACTGCATGCATAACTATTATAATCAATCTATTACCTCGTTATGTCTATAGAGATAATTTATAACATATTCAAACCAACAACAAAAAATAATAATAGTTTTTTTATTAGAATCAAAAAAAAAGACTTCACTTTGGTAATTTTGACCCAGCATACTGAAACTTAATATTTCGATAGCAGCTTTTGAACTCAATCTATTAATTAAAAAAAATCTTTATTAGTAGTAGTTTTGAACCAAATCCAATTTTTAAAAAAACGAATTATTTTTACAAAGCTGTCATGTGCCCCTACCTTGTGCATAACTGTTGTAACTAACCTATTATCCTGTTACATTCATAGAGATCATTCACAACACATTCACTCTAACAGCAAAAAATAATAGCAGTTTTTTAATTAGAGTCAAAAAAAAAAACTTCACTTTGGTAGTTTTAAACCCAACCTACTGAAACTTAAGAATACTTCAGTAGTAGCTTTTGAACTCAATCTATTAATATTAATAAAAAAACTTTATTAGTAGTAGTTTGAACCAATCCAGTTTAAAAAAAAACAAATTATTTTTACAAAGCTGTCATATGCCTCTATCTCATGCATAACTGTTGTAACCAACCTATTATCCTGTTATGTCCATAGAGATTATTTACAACACATTCACTCCAACAGCAAAAAATAATTGCAGTTTTTTAATTAGAGTCAAAAAAAAAAGACTTTACTTTGGTAGTTTTGAACCCAACCCACTAAAACTTATAAATAATTTGGTAGTAGCTTTTGAATTCAATTCATTAATATTAAAAAAAAAACTTCATTATTGGTAGTTTGAACCAAATCCAGTTTAAAAAAAAACAAATTATTTTTACAAAGCTGCCATGTGCCTCTACCCCATGCATAACTATCATAATCAATCTATTATCCTGTTATGTCCATAAAGATCATTCACAACATATTCACTTCAACAGCAAAAAATAATAGCAGCTTTTTAATTATAGTCAAAAAAAAAAGACTTCACTTTGGTAGTTTTGAATCCAACTCACTGAAACTTATGAATAATTTGGTAGTAGCTTTTGAACTTAATCCATTAATATTAAAAAAAAAAACTTCACTAGTGGTAGTTTTGAACCAAATCCAGTTTAAAAAAAAATAAATTATTTTCACAAAGCTGTTATGCACCCCTACCTCACACATAACTATCATAATCAATCTATTATCCTGTTATGTTCATAGAGATCATTCACAACACATTCACTTCAACAGCAAAAAATAATAGCAGTTTTTTAATTAGAGTCAAAAGAAAAAGACTTCACTTTGGTAGTTTTGAACCCAACTCATTGAAACTTATAAATAATTTGGTAATAGCTTTTGAACTTAATCTATTAATATTAAAAAAAAAACTTCATTAGTAGTAGTTTTGAACCAAATCCAATTTAAAAAAAAAACAAATTATTTTCACAAAGCTGTCATGCACTCCTACTCTACGCATAACTGTTGTAACCAACCTATTATCTTGTTACATTCATAGAGATCATTTACAATACATTCACTCCAATAGCAAAAAATAATAGCAGTTTTTTAATTAGAATCAAAAAAAAACTTCAATTTAGTAGTTTTGAATTTAATATACTGAAACTTAAGAATACTTTGGTAGTAGTTTTGAACTTAATCCATTAATATTAAAAAAAATCTTTATTAGTGGTAGTTTTAAACCAAATCCAATTTAAAAAAAAACTAATTATTTTTACAAAGCTGTCATGCACTCCTACCCTATGCATAACTGTTGTAACCAACCTATTATCTTGTTGCATCTATAAAGATCATTCACAATACATTCACTGCAATAGCAAAAACACTAACAATTTTTTAATTAGAGCTGAAAAAAAAGACTTTATTTTGGTAGTTTTAAACCCAATCACAGAAATTAAAGAGACTTTACTAGTAGTTTTTGAACTCAATTCATTAAAATTAAAAAGAAATACTTCATTAAAAGTAGTTTTGAACCAATCTACTTAAAAAAACTAAATTATTTTTACAAATTTGTCATACGTCCCTACCCTACATATAACCATCGTAACCAATCTATTATCTATTATGTTTGTAGAGATCATCACTCCAATGGCAAAAAATACTAGCAGTTTTTTAATTAGAGCCAAAAAAAAAGCTTTACTTTGGTAGCTTTGAACCCAACTTATTGAAACTTAAGAAGACTTTGCTAGTAGTAGTAGCTTTTGGATCAAAGTCACTTAAAAACTTAATTATAATTACAAATCTGTTATGTGCTCCTACATCGCACATAATTGTTGTAACCAAACCAATTCCTTGCTACATCTGTAAAATTAATTCACAACATTAGTCCTATGAAATGCAGTAGTTAGTAGCTTCTTAACCAAGTTCACTAAATTTAAGAAAAGCTGTTATTATTTATTTCTGAACTCAACCCACTTGAATTTAACATCAAAGTAATTTTTTTTTTAATTAGTTAAAAGACTGAAGTCTTTTAAGTTTAAACTCAATTAAAAAAAAAATTGATTATAAATAAAATTTTAATATGGTAGTTAAAGTTAGTTAAAATGAATTAAAGATAGTTAAGAATAATTAAGATAGTTAAAGTTAGTTAAAATGGATTAAAGATATTTAAAGATAATTAAAGTAGTTAAAGTTAGTTAAAATGAATTAAAGTTAATTTTATTAATCATTATAGGAATTTCGAAGATTATATTCAGAATATTCTCGTCTATTTGGAAATCCTAATTTTCTATTTTTAGATTTATTCGTTTTTTTAGTTTTTGTATTTGATAGATTTTTTTATTACATAAC